GGAATAAAAGTGCAAAGGCTTAATGGCATGATCTAATTTCCATTAGGGCAAATGGAAAAGACCTCAACACAGTTCAAGGGACTCCATCAGGCTTTACACCTGGGGAAGCATTCTGGAATCCTGGGGAGGAGGGATAGCTCAGTGGTTTGAGCATTGGCCTACGAAACCCAGGGTTGTAAGTTCAATCCTTGAGGGGGCCATTTAGCGATCTGGGGCAAAAATCTGTCTGGGGATTGGTCCTGCTTTGAGCAGGGGGTTGGACTAGATGATCTCCTGAGGTCCCTTCCAACCCTGATATTCCATGATCCAAAGCCCACTGAAGTTAATGGGACCCTTTCCATTGGCTTCAATGAGCTTTGGGTCCAGCCCCTGGCTTGCAAAGTATGTTCCCAACGGACTTTCACATGCAACACCACACACAAACTCTTCAGTATGTTTCTCAAGCTCAGCTGGAAGCGGAAGCGCAGTCTGGGTATAGACCAGCATCCTACTACGATTTACAATTCATACCTCATGTACTGCTATCCAAGTACCTTTGTGAGCTAAAGCAGGGATTCCCCGGGCCAGATATGTAGCCACGGATGTGTATTTTGCCCCGCTAGGAGACAGCGGTCTAGTCTGACACAGAAGAAGCGGAGCACAGAGCACAGACCAAAACCCAAGCAAGAACAGGGAGCCCTACATTCCCGGAGGTCATATCAGGCCTCCAGTATAAATAAAAATGAGCTGTATAGCCTTGATCCTTATAAGGAAGGTGTTAAAATACATCTAGTCTCCTCGGGAGATACCGGCTTCCTTTCCACTTCTGATACCACGACAAAGGCACCTGTTCTACATACCTTCATTTGATGGTGCACAGGAGCTTTTTACAGAGCCACTTACCCCACTCCGCACAGCGCGTTCAGATCTCTGGCGATTCGTGGATACTTGGAGAGAAACAACATTTGGAATGAGTGGGTCACAGGGCAGGGCAGTCAAAAGCGGCATCGTTCAGAAGAAATCAGCTAGTCTGCTTCAGCCTTCCATGAAAACCAAATGCTGCCGAGGCCCAACCAAAGCAGGCCTGTGTAATGAAGTCTGTCTGCTCTACAGTCTTCCATTAAAGCAATATAAATAGTGCATCGGCTTGTGAACAATCAGCAAAGCCATAGCGAACATATATGCTGCTCAGAGAGTACCCTTTTTTACTGTACCATATTTCATGAACAGTTTCTCCAAGATAAAACCCAACAGCTGTCCTTTGCAGAACAACAGTATAAGCAGAAGTGTTCATGAGACACCCTAAAATACACGTCAACGCCAGAAAACAGGAACGTGCTTTTGCATTGCTTTGCCTGTCACATGTACCCATTTCCCCAGGCTTTGTAACTTCCAGATTCAATGACGTTTTTTAATCTGCACCCATCATTGTAGTTACTAAGGGCTTGTCTACATGAACAGTGAGTCTGCAGCAAGATAGGGTGTGAATCTACCCTGCACTAGACTGCCACGCACTAACTGTCTGCATGGATCCTGCTGACGCACACTAACAGTGCCTTAGTGTGCTTTCATCTAGTCCCGCTGTGAATGGGTATTAGATCAGAGCACACTAAGGAACTGTTAGTGTGCATCAGCAGGATCCACATGGACAGTTCATTGTATGGTAGATTCACACCCCCGTTTGTCATGGACTAACTGTTGATTCAGACAGACCTGAGTGTAAGTGAAGTAGCTCTGAATAAGCAGACACACAGGACGGTGCCCTTAAAACAATACAAGGAAATACTGTAACGAGCAATCATTAAAATGATGAAACGCTATGCATATTTATTAGAGAGCGATCCAAACTAAAAACCCAGATCCAAACACCCCCAAGGCCTTAGGATATCCGAGACTGGGATCCAGAACTGGATCTTTACTGTCCACCATGAGTTGCTAGAGAAAAAGTTCATAGCAAAATGCTGAGGATTTCTCCCACCTTTGGGATTTAACTGTTTATAGCTAAGCTCTAAATCTGATCATCAGCAGGAAGAAATAGTAACCTACCGCCAGTTCCGTAAGGTTTGTGATTATTACTGTCCTGAATGACCTGTTCTGCTCTGTGATAAGGCCACTGTATGAAGCAAGAAGCACATAGTTTTATTGTGATTCACCTGTTGGACCCACTAGGCGAGGGTTTAGGACAGAAGGAGAACCATCTTCTTGACACAATTATTGTCGTAAGGGAAATGGTCCTAAATACAAGTTCTCATTCAAATCAAATTGGAGTAAATAGCTTTGTTTTTATACCAAGACTCCAGAATTGCTTCAGACTGATTTATATCGCAACAGCAGAACAATGCAAATAGGGTCCGGGACTTCACCACAAATGCTTGCTGTATAGATGCTCTTTGGACACTTGTTCGCAATCTCATTTTCCAATGAGGAGTGGGGGGAAAAAACAATCAAGAATTCGGTACACGGCCAATGGGAGCCATGCATCCCTGCTCAATTCTTTCTGGGAGATTACCTGAATGGGGCTGTACAGAGACAGCTTCCATCAAAAATATTATCCCTTCCCTGCCGGCGTATGGCTAAGGGCAACACAACTGGTTTCAAAGAGCTCCTTCTATACAAGGTATATTGGCCATAGAGCCATGGAAGGGGAACATACTATGGGCTCATTCACAAGTGGTGCAGAAGGCCAGCAAAAGGCTCTTATGCAACTTCAGACCCACCTCAACCCGTCTTTGAGGTCTCTAGTAGTATGTAGACCTCTGCATGTCATTGAATTTCACCCTTTATGCCTACTGGGCACTAACACCCAGATCATCAAAAGTATTTAGTGGCCTAACTCCCAGGTACCACCTTCGAGGATCTAGGCCCAAAACGAACACTAAGCAGAAAAGAAGTGTCAAGGTAGAGGGTCTTCCTTCTCCATCTGTGGGAACCCTCCCAGCCTGTAGACGTTTGAGCATCTCCCACCGCAATAAGCGTGCGAAGAGGATACACATCGAGGTGACTTACCACAGGCTTTAAGATGAGGGCCAGAATCTTCTTCACCAGAATGGGAAGACGGTAACAGTTGATCTGCGATTTCAGGGTCGGATCCACAATGTCCCCTTTGCTGGGAGGTGAGGGAGAAAGGAGGCAGTCAGGCCAATCCAGTTGTAGAGTGCCGCTTCCCAACCGACATTTTAGCATCTTTAAATAGTAAAACGACAACTCACCCAGGCACCAACCCAAGGTATCAAGTTCTGAACCCCTGAGCATAACAGAAGTCATTGCTCAGGGTGTAAGGGTAGATGCTCCAGAATAACTCTTTGCAACATGACATGAATGCTTCATTTCCTATATTTATTTGCATTTTTTGGTAGACTATGGAGTATTTTCCATTTTTGCGGGATTTTTTGTTTTGTTTTTACACACCTTGGGACTTGCCTTGACTCTGCTGGCCTTCTACCTACATGTCCCCTCACCCTAGTTCTAAGCACTTCCACCATGAGTCAACGTAACCTCATGCAATCCTGTTGTTATCCTCCCCATGTTGCAGCTGGAGCAACTGAAGCACTCGGAGATTAAATGACATGCGTAGGGTCACGCGAGGAGTCTGTGCCAGAACCAGGAATCATGAGTCCCAGTCCAGCGCCTCAGCCACAAGACCATTGCCCTTCTTTCCTGGCCTTTCCCCGTTTGTACGTGTATTGTGCTGGTTTGGAGAGATGCTCTGAGATGCAGAGTACTGTATACATCCGGCAGCATATTTTGCTTTGGAATTCGGATGCCGATGTGTAAAGTGGGGTGGGGCCCAGATATCTCAGAGACCACATCACTCTCCGAAACCTATCTTGACAGCTGTGATCAGGCAGGATGCTGCAGCGGATGGAGCCCACCATGAAACTCACTGGGGCTAGATATAGTCAGTGAAGGACCCTCCGCCATGCAATTCCCTACCACCAGGGATTAGAATGAGCTTCAATCCCTTTCAGACTCTTCTCTTTGAGAAGCCTTCTCCATCGAACCACAAGAGCAGAATGGCCAGCAGTCACGGAGACAGAAGACCAAGAACAACCACAGCGGTGCAGATGATGAAGAAGTGGAGAATATAGTCCTACCCCACAGAAATGATGCGATTCCTAATGGTCTCAATGGCGCTTTGATGCTACAGCACCGGACCCGCTGAGAGTGTGGACGTATATAATTCAGGTTAGCGTGATGTGGCAGACGATGCTATACAAGTATAACGGGCAGGTTGATTAGCCTAGACAATTGAAACTCAGCACCCACTAGAAGTGAGAATAATGGGACTGACAGAGCTTACTCTCTGTTTAGCATCCTGTAAATTATCCCAAACTAGTATGGGCCAGGAAGCCACAATCTTAGTTTCTTAATGACATTCCTCAGAAGAGTCTCAGCAGGACAACAGGACACGCAGAGACAACCCATCCTCCATGTTAATTCCAGGCTAACCAAACCTGGCCTCCTTGCAGAAAGAACCTGTCTGCTGGTTCCTCCTCATGCCCCCTTGCCTGCATGACCCATTGAGCCACAACAATCGGCCGCCAGCCCTGTTCAAAGACGACGGGATTTACTTACAATTTGTCCAACAGATTTGCAGCTCCATCAGAAAAGAGGCCTCTGGTGAAAAGCTCGTCCACCACGTAATCAATCCGAGGCGGGGTAAAAGGGATGAGCTGCATTAAAACCATCGTGGCACAAGAGGAGGCAAAGACATCGGACAAAATTATATGTTTGTGAAAACCTTGCTAGAGAAGCAAAAAAGGGGCCTCAGCTTGTTCCAAATTCAGATTAGCTGCGGGTGCCCAGATACATTTCCCCTAAACACTAATGTTGGAACACATCTGCAAAGTGTGTGTCACTGCCCCCTCTAGTGGCTGGTCCAGAGTGGATAACAGCCTACTACTTCCGGTAGCTAATGAAATGACTCCTTTACTCAAGTGGTAGAGGGGCTTTGGTACTGATTGTCCCAGGTTCAAACTCTCATTATCCTGGGTCTCCCTGATGATATGAAAACTTGCCCCGACCTCTGACTTGTGTCCCCTGAAGAGAGTTGCCCTTTTGCCTGGCAAACATGAGCTGGATTAAGGGACTGCGAGACCAGGGAGCCATAGAGGTTCAGATGTCTTGATATTCGTTGGGACAGAAGCATAAGCAATATTATGGGGAACTGGCACCCACGGCTGTTTGGAAGCCCCGAGTCATGGTTGGAGATATGGAAAGAATTTCAACTTGACGATGATTTTGAGACGTCAAAGTCAGACCAGTGGGCCCACAAGGCTAGTGAGAGAGCGGTGGCTGGGAACAAAGACTATTGAATGAAGCTTTTCACTTTCTAATCTTCACAACAGGTTAGTGAATAAGCATTATCTCCATTTGGCAGATGGAGGGGCCAGGGAAGCGGAGAAGTACATGATTTGTCCAAAGCCACCTGACCCTCCAACGCTTTTCTCCCTTGCCTCGTCCCCCTCCCTTGCCTCGTCCCCCTCCCTTCCCTTCTTTCTATTTAACTGATCACTTCCTAAGTAAATCCACCTCCCTAAAAAACCCCTGTGGAATTAACATGATGTTTGCCACCATCACATTGTTCCCGCTAACTTGTACGTTCTACCCCTCCCTCCAGGCTGTCTCTCTCTTGTCTATTTAGATGATACGCTCTTTGGGTCAGGGACTGTTTACTGTTCGGTGTTCGTGCAGCACCTAGCGTAATAGGGCCCTGGTCTCTGCCTGGGGTTCCTAGGTGCTATCAAAATACACAGGCGTCATGTTTTATGTTACTGCTGGGATTAGAACTCTAGCAATCCCTGGCCTTCAGGCCAGCACTCAGCACAAGAAACGTACCGTATGCCCTGCCTCCTGGAGAAGCTTTTTGGTTTCCTGGACAGCCCGTCTCATGCTGGGCGAGGGCTGGAAATAGCCATCTCCGTCGTAATACCCGATCCGAAGAGGGGCTGAACTGGAGTACGCCTGGAAGCAGAGGAGCTTTTGCTTAGGAATCAGGGAATGGCCAGATTGGGTCAGACCTGAGGTCCATCTAGCTCAGTATCCTGTCTTGGACAGAGGTCACTGCCAGGTGGCTCAGCTGTGGGTGAATTGAGGTTCTGTCCAACAATAAACCATGTTCTAAGATGGTCTGCCCATAGTTGGTTCAATGGGGCTATTTCCAGAATACAGATCATAGGTTTGCAAAGACTAGGATGTTTTCATCCATGGCGCCATCTCTCATGGAGGCTCCCTCATTGAGGAGCAGTCTGAGTCTGTTACCTCCTCGTTGAAGGGCAGGGGTGGCACGGTGGGGTCCAGGCGGAACATGTCGTCACATAGGAGCGCTCTCATGCACAGAGCCAGGCTATCCACGTCCCTCGCCATTGGCCCAACCATTCCTGTAACTGCAACCAGAAACGCAAGGATGCCCGTCACCGAAGATGGAATGCAGAGGTGCCCCGTTACATAGTCCATCTCTTGGCTAACGCGGGGAAGGCTGTTCCACAACACAGGGCATGGTGGGTCAAACTCTTGGGGCCAGATCCTCGATCCTACTCTGTTTCCTTTGCAGCAGGCAGAGCAAAAGGAGCAGACGTTGTCTGTAATCTCCCTGTTGGGGATCCCCCCAGCAGGGAGGAGACCCCAGAGCCACCTGCCATTCCCCAGACCAGAGGGATGGCCGGAGTGCAACCTGCTCTGGCAATCTCCGACTGGCCTTAGGGACCCCACGCCAGCTGGCGCAGGTTAGGGCAACCCCCAGGCTGCTCTAACCTGTATCTGGGGCCAGGCCAGGTAGAGAATCAGGATCCCATTACCCAGCTTCCCAACAACACACCCCTCCGCGCTGCACCCAGAGACAGCTGGACATAGCAGACAATCTTGTGCTTAGTCATCAAAAGAATCAGGCCTGTCAAGATCCTCTTCTATACAGCATGGAGTGTGAAATTTAAAGGGACAGTGTCGTATTTCTTAAAATACCTACTCACCACTAGTAAAAATGGAAAGTGACAGCTCAAAGTGGCTGTAGCAGGGGCCAGGATCTGGCTAACCACCTCTTCCAATTTTCCCTGCTCAGAACTTGTCATCAACCAACCATGTCTTTAACTAGCATCCATATGTTATCCTCCAGGTAACCAGGTTCTATTTTCTAACCTGGACGGACTCACCTGATTTCATGCCGGTTATCGGACTGGCGAGACCAAGGGTGCTATGAAATATATAAAATGGGAGAAAAATTAGCAACAGTTAACTGTATTTGGAGGGGATAGCTCTGCCTGAGTTGTAGATACCGCACTT